CATTTTATAATTATTTTGATGGACTTGATTTAAAAAAAAAGCGCGCGAAGCGCGCTCATGACCTAGTTAGTTAAAAACCACGTGACCACACTTAGAATTATCTGTAAGCCTGGTAAACTATTTTATATGGTTTAGATGTGGCTCTTATTAGTTAGAAACCACGTGACCACTCTTAGAATTAATTGTAAGACTGGTAAACTATTTTATATGGTTAAGATGAGTCACTTATTAGTCAAAAACCACGTGACCACTCTTAGAATTATCTGTAAGACTGGTAAACTATTTTATATGTTTAAGATGAGTCACTTATTAGTTAAAAACCTCGTGGCCACTCTTAGAATTATCTGTAAGACTGATAAACTATTTTATATGTTTGAGATGAGTCACTTATTAGTTAAAAACCACGTGACCACACTTAGAATTATCTGTAAGCCTGGTAAACTATTTTATATGGTTTAGATGTGGCTCTTATTAGTTAGAAACCACGTGACCACTCTTAGAATTAATTGTAAGACTGGTAAACTATTTTATATGGTTAAGATGAGTCACTTATTAGTCAAAAACCACGTGACCACTCTTAGAATTATCTGTAAGACTGATAAACTATTTTATATGGTTAAGATTAGTCACTTATTAGTTAAAAACCACGTGACCACTCTTAGAATTATCTGTAAGACTGATAAACTATTTTTTATGGTTTAGATGGGGCTCTTATTAGTTAAAAACTACGTGACCACTCTTAGAATTATCTGTGGGCCTGGTAAACTATTTTATATGGTTAAGATGAGTCACTTATTAGTCAAAAACCACGTGACCACTCTTAGAATTTTCTGTAAGACTGGTAAACTATTTTATGTTTAATATGAGTCACTTATTAGTTAAAAACCACGTGACCACTCTTAGAATTATCTGTAAGACTGATAAACTATTTTATATGGTTAAGATGAGTCACTTATTAGTTAAAAACCACGTGACCACTCTTAGAATTATCTGTAAGACTGATAAACTATTTTATATGGTTAAGATGAATCACTTATTAGTCAAAAACCACGTGACCACACTTAGAATTATCTGTAAGCCTGGTAAACTATTTTATATGGTTAAGATGGGGCTCTTATTAGTTAAAAACCACGTGACCACTCTTAGAATTAATTGTAAGGCTGGTAAACTATTTTATATGATTAAGATGAGTCACTTATGAGTCAAAAACCACGTGACCACACTTAGAATTGTCTGTAATCCTGGTAAACTATTTTATATGGTTTAGATGGGGCTCTTATTAGTTAGAAACCACGTGACCACTCTTAGAATTATCTGTAAGACTGATAAACTATTTTATATGGTTAAGATGAGTCACTTATCAGTTAAAAACCTCGTGACCACTCTTAGAATTACCTGTAAGACTGATAAACTATTTTATATTATTTAGATGGGGTTCTTATTAGCTAAAAACCACGTGACTACTCTTAGAATTATCTGTAAGACTGATAAACTATTTTATATGGTTAAGATGAGTCACTTATTAGTCAAAAACCACGTGATCATACTTAGAATTATCTCTAAGCCTGGTAAACTATTTTATATGGTTAAGATGAGTCACTTATTATTTAAAAACCACGTGACCACTCTTAGAATTATCTGTAAGACTGATAAACTATTTTATATGGTTAAGATGAGTCACCTATTAGTCAAAAACCACGTGATCATTCTTAGAATTATCTGTATGCCTGGTAAACTATTTTATATGGTTAAGATGAGTCACTTATTAGTTAAAAACCACGTGACTACTCTTAGAATTATCTGTAAAGGCCGTATCAGACGTGCCGTTGCCAATTACTATTAACGATAACGATTGGGAATTCGACCAATCAAAATGTACCTGCTTCTGGTGGCGATTGCCGTTATGTTTAGGTTTGAGTCTAAATTTTACGAGGCCGTTCTGAACCATAGCCAATGAAAGCGCTCTATGAACAGCATGGGACATGTGTCTAAACGTCACTTTTTGGTTTTGCAATTTATCGCTTCTCCGGTGTTGCACCCAAACCTATTTTGGTTTGGATCTTTCTCTTTCCTCTTCTTCCAATGTAATCTATAGCACATCAACGCAGAAGAAACTTCCCCCCGACGACGTTCAGCGCTGTACTTTGAATATTTAGCTGCGATATTTTGACGTTATAAACATTTCAAGCAACCAGTAATCGGTAACGGAACGGTGTCAAGTGTGATTGCAACCGCGACGGCAACGGCAACGGCTAACAGAATCGGCAACGGCACGTCTGATACGGCCTTAAGACTGATAAACTATTTTATATGGTTAAGATGAGTCACTTATTAGTTAAAAACCACGTGACCACTCTTAGAATTATGTGTAAGACTGATAAACTATTTTATATGGTTTAGATGGGGCTCTTATTAGTTAAAAACCACGTGACCACTCTTAGAATTATCTGTAAGACTGATAACTTATTTTATATGGTTAAGATGAGTCACTTATTAGTCAAAAACCACGTGACCACTTTTAGAATTATCTGTAAGACTGATAAACTATTTTATATGGTTAAGATGAGTCACTTGTTAGTTAAAAACCACGTGATCACTCTTAGAATTATCTGTAAGCCTGGTAAACTATTTTATATGTTTAAGATGAGTCACTTATTAGTCAAAAACCACGTGACCACTCTTAGAATTATCTGTAAGACTGATAAACTATTTTATATGGCTTAGATTGGACTCTTATTAGTTAAAAACCACGTGACCACTCTTAGAATTAATTGTAAGACTGATAAACTATTTTATATGGTTAAGATGAGTCACTTATTAGTTAACAACCACGTGACCACTTTTAGAATTATCTGTAAGACTGATAAACTATTTTATATGGTTTAGATGGGGCTCTTATTAGTTAAAAACCACGTGACCACTCTTAGAATTAATTGTAAGACTGATAAACTATTTTATATGGTTAAGATGAGTCACTTATTAGTTAAAAATCACGTGACCACTCTTAGAATTATCTGTAAGACTGGGGGGCTTTATTTGAAATCGATCGCAAATTTTTGCGTGCACGTAAATTTGCATCAATTTGTTCGTATACGCAACTTGTTATGTGCGAATAGCTTTATTTGAAATTGACATTGGACGTGTGCATCTCTACTTGAGTGCACGCAAAAGATGCACTCGCTCGCTGCGTTGCCAGTTTTCTTTTCACAAAATGTTGAAAATCTACCATATAAAAATGAGTGGATTTTTGACTTTTACGATATTTTGGCTGACGGTGACGTATATTTCACGATGACATTTATTTATTATGATTTTTTTTGATGTTTAGAGGTTAGAATTTTCTGAAATATGTTTCGTGTTTACTTATAAGCAATTAACCACAAAAAATGAATATTATTTCACCAAGCCCTATTCCTGTAGATAGAAAAAAGAGCTCCGCAAACGCAGATGCGGAGGAAAAAAGGCTTCTTGTCCAGTTTGTCAGAGAACACCCCAACTTTTACCAAAAAGTCGAGTAAAAAAATGTTGCAAAAGCCTCAGCGGTATTATACGGTGCTCGGTGGAAGATTTTTTTCTTGGCGCCACTAAATAGCCCTGTAAAGCCTCATATAATTCTTCAAAAGTAGCTTTATTCAGCCGAATTTTTTTTACGAAAGGCCGGTCACTTAGGACTGGGGTCACTTATGTTGGACAATAATCTGAATTTTGACAAACACGCAACCCTTATCATAAAAAGAGCATGCTATGCGAAGCCTTAGTTTTGTCGCATCTTAATTATGGCGATGTAGTGTATATGAGCCTAATTTATGGTGTGTTGACGCGAGAAGAATTCAACTCATACAGAATGCCTGTGTGAGGTTCATATGCGGCCTAACAAAGAAGTCATGTGTCAGGGCCACGTAAAGATCTTGGCTAGCTTAATATGGAAGGTCGTCGAGAGCTCCCACACATAATAATAAAATTTCTGAGGGCTTAAAAATCTAAATGTATCTTCGTTTAAGCGTAGGATAAAATCAATGCTTCTTAGTAGAAATTATTTTGAAGCTAACTATATGTACAGGGTGTCCCACCGGGAACCAAATTGATCTATATATGAAAAACTGTATGCAGAAAATTTTTAAAAATTTGACACCATACTAATGTCAATGGGGGCAACCCGGCTAAAATATTTTCAAGATGGTGGCTCTTCCGGTATATCGGAAGTAGACGTCAACTTGCTTATTTTAAATGAGACACTTAATAGTTTGGGTTAGTAAAAAGGAGTCAATGGTTAATTAACCGCTTCAACAGTGGTGACAATTTCCGTCAAAATTTTGCTTAGTTTCCGAAGTCACGTAGTTTCAGCTGCCATATTCTTGCAAAATTGGGTTGCTCACGTTTTTCGTTAGTCTGCGTTTCTTATTAAAATTTGCAAGAATATGGCGGCGTGGGCGTGGCTAACTTGTATTGTCATCACTGTTTGAGAAGTTTTATTGGGACACTGTAGTTATGTTTGTGGATCCTCTAATTTTAACACCCCCATTCAGAAACGCAAACTTAACAAATTTCTGCAATCAAAGAAACATTCCTAAACCTAATTTGGGTAGCAGGAATAGCTATGCTCAATGCTCAAACTTAGTCAACAGTTCTGCCGGCATTTGCCTGTCGACAAATACTTCGATTTCAAGAAGTGTTTATTTGCAACAACTTTAGACGTCCAGTCAAATGGTAAAAATCTGTGACGCTATTTGGAGGCTCGCTATCGAAAGCGAGCCTCCAAATTCAATTCAGGCTTTGGTATTTTAGATGCTGGATACGAGATGGCGCGCATTTCTGTCATAATTCAAATTCGCGCGTAACGCTGTTGCCAATAGTTCTAAAATAACTAGTCCCAAATCATTAAATAGGCCAAACCATACATTAAGACACCAATTTTTTTTTATTACTGCATCTTATACTAAATATTATATGCAAATTAATAAATTGTTAATGTTAAGATTTTTTTTTAATATAAATAAATTTCACTTATTTTGTAAATTGTTAAGTTTTCTATTTCTAGTGAAAGCTGAAATGGATTTTTTTTTCTTCTTTTTCTCGGCTTCTAACGTTTCCAATTTTGTAGCTTCCCATTTTGAAAATTTAAATAAATTTGTTAGAACCAGAGATTCTAACAAAAATTTTCTATGATTATTTAATTTTTAACTGGAAAAATTCATACTTTGAGCCCCATTATGGTTTTAGTAAATTTTTGCGTAGCCGCATACCAAAAACCCAAAACCTATTCCTCAATGGCCGGTTTTCAGTCGAAAATCATACGACCAGTGATAGAAAATAGACTAAAAACGCATTAATCCAGCAAAATTATGCAATTATTAAAAACTTAAGAAACATATTCGCAAACTTTTCCAAACATTTGAACATGTTTGAAAGAATTAGAAAATTATAGTTTACTGAGTTAAAATTCTTCCGTTTTTTTATATTTATATCGAAAACCGGCACAATAACCCTATAAACCAGGCATTTATACAAATTAAATTCATATTAGTTTTAAACAATAAGTTTTCCCTTACCAATATTGTGGATCCATTTCTTACAAATTTCTCCATTATCAATGGGAATCCGAAATAATCTCACCACGTCGTTTCTCTGAATTTTGCCACAACTAAAGTAGCAACATTTGTTTCCAGACATTTTGAAAATTAGTTCTTTGATATCCAAGCAATAATTTATTTCTTCGAAAGTCGCAAATAGCAAAGAGAATTGTCTAGTTTTTTGTCCGTATAAATTTGACAACAGCGAAACATCAGAAAAAAGGTGGAATGCGGTTGTCCTGGAAACAATGACACGCTGCTCGTACACAAGGGTGCTAGCACGGTTTTCTTTGAATTTTTAATACGAGTGGCGCCATCTTATGAATTATTGAGGCATTTTTTGTGCTGCTATTTCCACTGGACGTATGATAGGACTTACAAAGTTTATAGCACTCTTATTCAATACACTTCTCATTATAGACTTCACACAAAAATCTTGGATACTAAATCCGCTACCTACTTAAAAACACCGCACTGAATGTATAGACCCCGAATTTTGACAATTGTGTCGATTATCCAGTCTTTCGACAACGATAACATTAAATAATCTTTTTATTTACGACTGACATATAATGTAAGTATTATATTTGTGATTTTGGCTGTATAATGCCATATATTATTCCCGCAGGGAATAATGACGAGGGATTAATGGTCATTGATCCCGCTTGCACACCAATGAGAAAATTTCTTTAATTAAATAATACCATGGACACTTCTATGATACAAACAAAACAAACTCAAAAGTGTCAAACGTATATTGCTTGTGTTTTATCCATATCGTCGAGATGGACGAAAATGAAGATTCTATTACTTGTACACCTCCAGAAATTCTAATAATAGCTGCAGTAACTACTTCAAATCCAATACCGGAATCATCGAAATTTACTTACGGGAAAACGTACGCCAGCTTCAACGAATGGCGTTTTCGAAACAAAGCTAACTCGTTTCCCGAAAATGTTCTGCTGGCGTATTTTGCGGAATTAAGTTCAAAATATAAACCATGGTCATTTTATTCGATGACAAAATCCATGTTGAAAATAAACCATGACATTGATCTAGAAAAATATGGCAAATTACGAGCATTTTTGAAAAAAAAATCGGAAGGATTTCAAGCAAAGAAGTCTTCCAATCCGACCCCGGAACAAATTAGGAAATTTTTTGACAAAGCTCCTGATGAAATTTTTCTTTTACATAAGGTACCTAAATATACATTATTAAATCTAATAATCATAATCTGACCTATTCTTATTTGCTTCAGATTATATTAATTATTGGAATTATGGGCGCATGCCGCTCAAACGAGCTCTATGAAATGAATGTAGAAGACGTGAAGGATTTCCAAACAGAGTTATTAATAACCATACCTAAAACTAAAACCAAAATTGTACTGAAATTCACCATAAACAGTACGTTTTACAATGTTGTAAAGAAGTACATCGGTCTCCGTCCGGCACGTGAAAATTAATTCATTCTTTCTAAATTATCAAGAATCCAAATGCACAGTACAACGTGTAGGAAAAAACAAATTTGCAGACATTGGTAGACAAATTGCCAAATATTTAAACTTGCCCAATCCTGAAACTTATTCCGGCCATTGTTATCGCAGATCATCTGCCACTCTGTACAGTGTATCTCATTTTGGTTGTCCATAAGGGATAACTCGGTTGCTATTGGAGCTAGAAGGATACGGTTTCCGCGAACGTTGGCTACTTTTTTGTCAAACGAAAGCTGGCGCCAACAGAATTGTCATCGCTCTTTTTGTTTTTCAGATACAAGGTGATTTTGTAAAAGTCGCACTTTGGGACACCCCTTGTATCTCGGTTCTCTCATAGGTGATCGAAGAGGTGACAATGGTTTCTTATGGATATTTTCACGTAGCTTCCAATGGCGTAGTCAGTTTTTCTCTAGAAGTCATAGCTTTTAAATTATGAACCAAACATACGTTTTTCCAAATGAGACACCCTGTATATTAATTGCTCATTGGTTAGCTCTGCTTTTGCTGTTTTTAAAGATATAAAGTTTGATTTGGAGGGGGCGATCGGGCCAGGCCCCCCGCTCGAGGCCACCCCTCTAAAACTGTTTTACGTATATGAAATGTAGCAACATCAAGGCGTGGCACCCTGACACCTTTTTTTTTTTTTAGATTTTTAGCCACAAGCCACAACCCATGTAGGCCCCCCAAACATATTTCTGGTTGCGCCACTGATCCTGTCTGTTTTTGTCATAAGAAATAATGTATCAGAAAAGGACTTTGCATCTGTAAGGGATATGAGAAATACATTGTTTCTTATGACAAAAACAGAAAAACATTTTTTGCTCAAAAACTGTTAGAGATAAACCTATCTAATTTTATATCATTGAAATCAGCAAAAACAGAGCTATCCAATGAGTTTATAATATATAGGGTATCTCGTTTGAAAAAACGTATGTTTGGTTCATAATTTAAAAAATATCACTTCTAGAGAAAAACTGACTAAGCCACTGGAAGCTACGTGAAAATATCTATAAGAAACTGTTGTCACCTTTTCGATCACTTATGAGAGAACCGAGATACAGGGGGTCTCCCAAAATGCAACTTTTTCAAAAACACCTTGTATCTGAAAAACAAAAAGAGCTATGACAATTCTGTTGGCGCCATCTTCCGCTTGACAAAAAAGTAGCCAACGTTCGCGGAAACCGCATCCTTCTAACTCCAATAGCAACCGAGTTATCCCTGGACAACCAAAATGGGACACACTGTACATTGACGGAGGAGGCGATATAACTGGGTTTAAAGCGTCATGGGGGCTGTAGATCTACACAAGAAGCTGAAGGATACATTGATCAGTCTATGAGAAACAAGACAACTACAGCAGATATTATTCATCATATTAGTTAGGTTAGAATCGCAAATTGGCGCGGGTTCCTAGTTTAAAAATTAATACATTGATGTCTTATGGGAACTCAATTTTAAAAGCGTCTCTAGACGTGATAGAACGTTTGTTAGGGAAGTGAGTTGTATAAATAGTTTTTTTAATATGTTAATTAACTGAGAGAGTGTTTGAAAGTTGAATAAACATTGTTAAAATAGAAATATTACCAATTTAAGAAGCCGATGTTTGTATAAAATACGTATGTCATTGCTTGATCCACAAGTATATATGGCTACCTATAATTATAATAAAATAAAAGTGTACCTACATACTTGGTTAATAGATGTACTTCAATAATCCAAAAAAATGGAAAAACAAATGACTGAACTAGTGATAAATAAATAAATAAACAATTCACCAACAATCATAACACAACACACAACCTCACTTTCTTACAGCTGATTTTAGACCCGACGTACATCCACCGAAAACAGACACTTTTAATTAAAATCATTTGTATTTTTAATTCATAGGTCTAAAAAAACAATTAGAGCATGAAGTATAGAGAAATATGTTCAAAGTTTGACGTATAATAGGTTCAAATACTAAGAAATGCCCAGAACCCAAAATATTCCCGTCTGAAAATCACTCTTTTGAATCCCCCATAAGAAATACATTGCTGTCAAATTTGTTGAAAAGTGTTTAGGAACCCATTTTAAATTTCGCGCCCGATTTTTCCTAACCTAACTAATATGGTGAATTGCTAAGCAGATAAACAGTAATGGAGCATCTTCTTCCTTCACAGCAACTGAAATTCTAAATGCATCTTGTCCAAATATTTGTATCGAAAACACTTCCAAAATTGATGATAATTGACGACCAATTCAGTTTATTAATTGTACTCTTACTAATTTTAATGTTATGAATAAATAAAGTAGTTGTTCAATAAAAATCTCAAATATATTAATTTGTCGTAAATAAAGTACTCGCAATAATGGCTATTATTTCCTCGGAATGTTACTCCCTCGCCGCTAACGCGGCTCAGTTCGTAAATATTCCTCGGGAATAATAGCTATCATTATTGACTCGTGGTATAATCTACTATTATATTTTAGCAACCATTTGACACTTGTTATACATACTATGATTCATGACGTCATAGTTATCCAAATGATAGGTGAAAAATATATTTGATAAAGGTTCGAAAAGAGGACGTCATGATCGTTGTTTATTTTTTTTTTTTGGGTTGTCTTGCGTTTCCGAGTTTCAATATAATTTCTCTAGTCAATATTTTCGATAGATTCGCGAAAGTCCCCGAAGTAGGCGACATCTATGATCAACTTTGGTACTCAAAACTCAGTGAACAACAAAGCAAGTTTGCATTTGGCCCCTGGCATTGTTTCTGGAAGTTTTCAATTTTCTACAGAATATTATTCTGTTTATGTATTGTTTCTGTTATATAAATCACAAAAACGGTATAAAACACAATTTAACAAAAACTAACCTCAAAAAACTGTCTTTGTTGTTCACTGAGTTCGGTAGACATATTACTATTTTTCGCGTAATTCAACGCCATCTATTGGTACAGGAACTTCGCCAGTTGCAGAATTGTTGAGTCTTATGAGGACCAAATTGCAAAAAAAAAAAATTCAAATTGCACTTTTGTGCAAAAGTGAAGATTTTTGTTTTGCAAATTATTCTCCAATAATCTTTAAATAGTTTACTAGTTTTTAATTGATTTTACATTTCCACTCAAAGCGACGGAATTACGTTAAATAAAAACCTCTACCAAAATATCACAAAAAAAAAAACATCGAAGCAATTTTACTGGTGTCGCTTTCTGTACCATCGATGCACGCCTTCAATCTATCAAGAATCAAATAAGTTTCGACGGCGACCAATCGCCAAAGTTTTCCCGGCCCTTGAGCTTTTGAAGAGTTGCGATGAAATTCATAACCATAGACTCTTCACAACCCACAAAGAACACAGAAAAAGAATAACCCGGCGAGCTGGGCCCATAACCTGTTAATTGAACACGTTACCTAAGTATTTGTATTGGCCGACATTCAAGTCGATAGAGTATTTGATACGACCGAAAAAAATCTAGTAAAATGCTATTCTTTCACTTTTATTTCTATCAAATGTGTTCCCATCAAATTTTTGTCACACAGGAGAAATTTTGTTCTCAACGCATGCGGAAAAGTATTAATTTCCTCATTGGTTAGATAACTATTTCATTTTCAAATGA